TGGACAAACAAGCCAATATCGGGACAGTCCCGATAAAATCGGGAAATCTGGTCACCCTATGTGGGGGTCTGCGGGCTTCTGCCATCAACCCCCGTGAGCCACCAGAGAGCAAAGAAACTAGACTAAAGGGACAGCAACCAATTCCCCTGCACTCCCCTGGGCAGAGCCCACCCACCCTTCTCCTAGTGCTCCATGGGAGGGGCGGGGCTGGATATATCCCAAACGGGGAGGGGACCCATCAGGCTGGGGTCTGTAACGCTGAGTGTGGCGCCCCCTTCTGGTGACTCGCTCCAGTTCAGCGCCCCCTTTCTTCTCTTCCACCATTGCAGCTCCCGGAGTCCTGGCTGCCCCGTGTCTCGGCCGTCTGGCCAGGTCACGCTGTGATCCCCATTCTGGGGGAGCCTTTCAAAGTCAGACCCCTCTCTCCTATGCCTGCTAGCGAAACCCTTCCTCCGGGCTCCTACCCCCCTTGGGGCTTCCTAGCCCCCCTCGCCTCAGGCCCCCACCACTGGGCCCAGCCCTTGGGCTGTATAGAAGCCCCACGTGTCCCCTCCCAGGCGAGCTTCCTTCTAGCTAGCGCCCTGCACGCAGCCTAAGTCACTTCCCCTTTGCAGCTTAACAGGCTGATCGGGCCCCCCCTTAACCCCGCTCTGTCAGGGGTGGTGCAGGGAGGGGATCGCAGGGTCCTGGTCTGGAAAAGGTTGGGCCCCCTGATCTGGGGGCTGGGGGAGGCGTTTTGCCACAGGGATTGGGGCCCTGCCAATAGCAGCGAAGAAAGGAGAATAGAATGCGGGGGGTAGATGGAGCAGACAGACTGACCGACAGACCACGCCCCCCGCAATCAGTGGGAGGTGCCTCCATGGTCATTCGCCCCCCGTGTGCCCCCAGCCGTGCTGTGTGTGACACCCCCCGCCTCCGCTTTCCCTTCTCAGACATCGATGAGTGCCGCAAGACCCCAGATATCTGCGGCCCCAACGCCACATGTATCAACACCTACGGAAGCTACTGGTGTAAGTGCCGGGCCGGCTATGTCCCCTCCAACAGGAACACGACCCTGTGCCAAGGTGGGTCCTGCTGCTGGGGGCATGGAGGAGGCACCTGTGGGGACTGGGCAGGATCTGGGGCTACACAGGCAGAGGTCTTGCCCAAGGGGGCAGTGAGCTGGGAACTGGTCTGGGATGGATGATTCCATAGCCCCCGTCCCACCCCACTGCGGCTCAGTCCCCTAGGACGGGGAGGGGGGAGGGTTCCTTTCACAGAGATCGGCTTGTGAGCAGAGGATGGGGAGAAGGGGCTGGGCACATGTGTGGGGCTGGGGAGGTCACTGCTCCCCCTGCTGGGAGAGGATGTATTACACCCATATCACTGACATGGGCTGGGTGTGTCTCTGCTGGGGGGAGTGAGGGGAGGCTGCTGCCGGCCCCTGCTGGAGGGAGTGAGTCCTGCTCTCTGCCTGGCTCTGGTGCATGCACCTACCCAGCCAGATCCCGCATTTCCCCCCCCATCTCTCACTCCTCCTCCCTTTCCACTCCCCACG